AGAAGCAGTCCTACCGTCCCCTTCTTTTGTGCTGGGGGAGTCTCTCCCTCACTGCTTCGGGTGGAGCAGTGGTTTCAGTTTGGTGCCCTGAGTTGTCCCGCAGGACTGGTACTGCTGTGTAGGCGAGAAGCTGGACAGAGTCTGTCCAGGACTCTTGAAGAATGCAATCATCATGTCATGTAAGAGCATGCGCAAAGGAAGACAGCTGGCGTAGCTTCTCCCAGGACCTCATGGTACCTGAACTTGGTTTCAAAAATGTTTCTGTACCCATCCGGGCAGGTCACAGTTCATCTGTGATCTCTCCTGTCCCAGCCTCCTGCTACCATACCAGAAAACCAGAGGCTAGGTAACTTACTTATTTTGTTATTTCCTAATTTAGCTTCTTTATTGACTCTTTGGGAGTTTCACATCATTCACCCCAATTCTGTTCACTTCTGATCCCCCCATATTCTCCCCTCATTGCTGTCATGTCCCCCCAAAAGAAAACAAAACAAAGCAAACAAAAGCGAAAACAACTCTCCCAAACCAAACCAAAACCATAACAACAGAAAAGTCTCTTTGCTTCTTCGTACCCGCGTCTCCAACTCCTCTTCTGTCCTGGTGGCATTGGAGGCTTTGGTGTGTCACATAGTATACCCCTTTGTCCCATCAGCTTTATTGGCAAATGTTCATTGCAATGAGTCACTGGTCTGGTTGAAGGCCTCTGGTTTCTGGTACACCATCCTTACCGGATTCTCACCAGAACTCCTCTGGGATAGCTTGTGGCCTCCCGAGTCTTGGAGATCTTACTGGTATTGTTCCCCAGGACCAATATCTTTCACCAGCTCCAGCAGGTCCTAGATGGGGTAGATGCTAGGGTGGGTCAACCTAAGGTCCAGCTGGGGGCCTGGGTGGTAGCCAAATTGGTCAGTCTGGGCCATTGGGGCCACCTGCCTCAGGCAAGGGGGCAGAGCCTGCTCCCCTACATGCATGCTGTCAGGGTCGGTTCACCCTCACCTGTGGTGACGGGTGGGAGCCACCTCTCCCACGTGCAGGGGCCAGCTCTCTTGCTGTAGTGTCCCGTGAGAGGCAAGGCCAGTTTTCCCAGGGCCAGCGAAGGGCGGGGCTGGCTCAGCATGGCCCTCTGATTTCACCTCCCGTAGTTCCTAAAGCCTCTTGAGGTGACACAGGCCACAGACATCAACGCAGACCTCCTGATGGTTTTCACCTGAGCAGAGGCAGCCATTCTCTGTATCTTTCCCAGTAAATTTCTTACGTGAGGTTTGTTGGGGGGGGGGGGGGGGGGTGACTCTATGCTAGTCCTTGGCTCCCGACTGCCAGGATACCTTTCCCCTTAGAGCTGCAACACTTCCGCTGCGGAAACCTCCCCCTCAAAGTTGTTAACACTTCACGAAGAATAGACTCCCTGACCTGTTTAGCTGTATGGAAGCCATGCAGCAAGTGCCAAGATTGCTTTGCGAGTTGTCACCTACGCTGGGGTGTGCTTTTTGGTGATGCAGCTGTCTTTGAGCCTACTCCTATTAGTAACCCAGTTAAAAACTCATGGGTTCCCTAACTTGGGCATCCTGGAAATTGCTCCTTCGGTCTGTTTTTTGGGTTCCTCTATTTGGGGTGAGCCGACATGATGGCATAGTTTGCCTTCTCTTGCTGCGATGCAAAAGTGACCCAAAGCAGCTTGGCTTGGAAAAGGGTTATTTTATCTCATACGTGACAGTCCACCATTGAGAGAAACCAAGGCAAGAGCTCAACTCAGTTCCTGGAGGAAGGAACTGAAGCAGAGACCATGGAATGGAAGACTCCCGCTTTCAGGAGAGCTCCAAGGTGGAAGGTCAGTTATCTTTCTTTACATAGCCTAGGCCCATCTGCCCAGGGACGGCACCACCCTCCACGGTCTGGGTCCCCTGACGTCATTTAGTGATTAAGAAAATGTCCCATAGACATGCCCACAGGGCAGTTTGGTGGAGGTGATTCCTCAGCTGACGGTTCAGCTTCCTAAGTGTGTCAAGTTGATAACCGTGATCATCCATTACCTCATGAGTGTCTGTGTTGTCCCCCCACCCCGCCCGCTGTCTCTCCAGGTAAAACATTTGCTAAATTGCCTTGAATAGGATTGCTATAGAGGCAATGAAGACTGCAAAGAGAAATGAACGTGTCATAATGAACGGCCCTGGGGCGTAAGGCAGTTTTCTTTAGCGCCATTTACAGCAAGGTTACCACCTTCTAATTAAAAACAAACATTCTAGGGCTGGAGCGATGGATCAGTGGGTAAAGAGCTTTTCCCGAAGGCTTGACAACCTGAGTTTGTAGTCCAAGAATCCATGTAAAAGCTGGACACGGTCGGGCACTTCTGTAACACTAGCATCCGGAAGCAGATGGGAGACTCCAGAGGCACCCAGGCCAGCGATCCCAGCATGCACAGCAGGGAATGACAAAACATTCTCTGCCTCAAACAAGGTGGAAGGTGTGTGTGTGTGTGTGTGTGTGTGTGTGTGTGTGTGCGCGCATATGTGTTTGGAAGGTGGGGACAGAGAACAAACACATGTTTCAGATTCCTTTCAGATTCTCTGACATAGTCTTCGGGAAGGTGGGACACAGAAATCAGAGTGTAAATGAACCTGTTACCATCATGCATCTCTGTCTCTCTCTTCTTGCCTTAGTTCCCCAAAGGCTGAGATAATGTGTGATTCACCATGTCCATACTCCCCACCCCTAGCGTTAGGGCCACACACACACTGAGTAATGGCCCTATTGCTGAGCCACGCCCCTAGCCCTTGGCAAATGCTCTAACACTCAACCAAGGTCTCAGCCCTTCACTGGGGAGATTCTAGGCAGGTGCTCTACAACTGAGTCACCCCCCAGCCCCTCACTGGGGGATTCTAGGCAGGGGCTCTACCACTGA